AAGGAATTTTATTGTCAAATTTGTCGTTTTTATTAAATGCTATTTTATATATTATTTAATAATCGCATAATTTATTCATAATTTTGCTATTTTTGTTAACATTTTATTGTATTAAGAAATGTTTGGTAAATAATACTTAAGTAGATTTATAAAGATATTTATTGAATTACGAATTCATTTTTGTTATATTAATAAAACAAATGCTATTTTATTATTTTATTACACAAATGAATTTCGGTTCAGTTTATATCTAGTATTCATATAAATATATATTTTATTTAAATCTTAATGTCGTTAACTATAAGCGTTTTCCTGTGTCCATACTTTTCTATAACTAAATTGAATATTAATGTTGTTTTTTGATTTCAATACTGGAAAACTCAAATAATTGTATAGAATTTCTATAATATAAATTATATATACATATATACATTATATATAAATATATAATTTCTATTATATAATGGAAAGAGACGAGTAATAAATGGATTTAAGAGTTATGTCTGAGAAGTAATTTATAGCGAAATAGTGTTTAATATTATATGAATGAAGTGAATGAACATCAGAATTGAACTAAAAATGTAATGTTATCTGAAAATTGATGAATGGATTGAATGGAGAGAGAGTATGGGAACGGATGGCATGTTTCCATAGAGATTGTACGTAAGTGTTGGCTAAATATAGTTTCCAAATGGTTGGTCGCACTAGTATTGGTGCCCGACTTATTAGATATTCGCAATGTTCATGTTGTCAATGATAGCTAAAAAATAAGTAATATAAAAGACATGTAATTTGTGTGTTTTATTGTTTGTCATAACTTTTCATTTACAAGTCAATCAAATCTACGCAAACCTATCATTTTAAACTCAATTGTCTTTATATACATATATTATAATTTTCTACATTTAAAGTTGAGATAATTGTATATTATTTTATTATACTATGTGTTTAATTTGTATTTCGATGATAATAATTAAATTGATTCAACTTTTAATTATATAAATAGAACTGAAATAAGAAATACTAAAAACTATTTGCAAATTGCAATATAGATGTAGATCTAAATGAAGCCATTTTTGTTGAATAAATGCAACAAATTCTAGGCTTTATTACCAGAAATGTGATCTGATTTGGTGCACAAAATTAGGCTTGTGATATTCACTATATTTAAATTGCATTTAATTAGATTACATTCTTTGTAACCCTAGGTTGCATTAAAAGTGAGATCCGGGTCACTTTTTATGACTATATTTGCTAAAATAATATAAAAACCAATAACCCCTGAAACACACAATTATTGAAACCAAATACTATTTTTAGACTCAAAATTGGTTTGCTTTTCAAATGTATTCTTATATAAATTGAAAGCTTTTTTAAAACATTGTGTAGGAATTATAGTGAATAATTAAATAATTCTAATAGGAATATAATAATTCATTAATGTAATTTTAATTTGCAAAGAAATACGAGTGAGTGATTTATTATAATTTAAATTAAAATAATTAACAAAACAAAAGGTCAAAAGTAATTGATTTTTCTCGTAGTTTGGTAGCTATGCCTTAAATTTACACAACAAATCAAAAGCGTTTAATAAGAATTGCGAGAAATATAAAACTTATTATTTATTTATTTCATTTCATTGTAAGAGAAAGAATTAGAAGTTTGAGAATATTTTTTGATTATATAGTGTATGAATGAAAGGGTATAAACAAGGAGTCCATTGAAACGTTAGATTTTGACAATACATGAGATTCTGTAATAAAAAGTGCAAAACGGGGACTAATGTGTTGTTTGCTTTTCCGCCTAATACTTAGTCCATAAAATATTCCCAACTATTCCTAACTGTTTGTACAGTACGTACCGTCGGTATAATAACTGTGAACAACCCCTACATATCACTCCCTCCTTGTCCTAAGACAACCCCCGGTATAAGAAACTGATTTAAAATTCAATCTTTAAATCTGTAAAACTAAAGCACATATAAGACCACTGTTTTAAAGAGTAGTACGAGTGTGACGTGAATACAGTGTTTGTATTCTTTTGTATTAAAGACTTTATGAGTTTGAAAAACAAAAGATTCGCGCAGTTGTAGAGAGAGAGAGAGCGAGAGAGAGAGAGAGAGAGCGAGAGAGAGAGAGAGAGAGAGAGACCCTAACATAATATTCCGTTCAATACTTACTTGTATTTTGATACACAAGTGCTGTGCCGGTGGCACACCATTAGGATTAGTTGCACTCAATAATTGACTCAATAATTCCTTTCAAATATTAGCGATTCAATGGTTTGCTAACATAAACATAATACTGTTTTATTAATACACATTATAATTTCGTGTTAAATTTATTTTCATTTCTCAATATTTTATTTTCAACAATTTAAGTATAATTTATGATCACTTAATGTGTTGATTTATATAATAATTAAATTGATTTATTAATAAGAATATTTGTATATAACTTGAAGAATATCGAAAAAAGTTCATTAATTATATTTTGTTTTGCGAAATACAATGAATTGTATGAATTGACCCAAAATATTATTATAAGAAGAATGCAATTCAACGATAAATGATCACTCATTCGCTCGTATGGTATACAGCGTTGGAATTCATGAAAAATAGATCAAAAGAAAAATTAAATATAAATACCAATACTTAGAGCATTAGAGGGGAGACCGTGTAATATAAAAGCACCGGTCGGTCAAAACGTTGTCCTTTACTTCTTTCAATTCATTTTGATTTTTGAAAAGATTTTTCTGGAAATTGAATAAAAGTTCTCGTTTCCAGACATTAATAAAATTACATTTTCTTGGAGTTACTAAAGAGATTTTATTTGAGGATTGATTTAATTTGCAATAAAAATGTGAAATTACATTTCTTAGAAATTCTGACTCTAATGTGAAGATAATTTGCTTTTTATGAGATAAATCTGGACTAAAATTAGAAATTAGAGAAATATATATATCCTTCACATTTAACTTTGAAATCAGTTTTTAAAGCGAAAGTAATTATAATTTCCATAACAATGAGTGAATTCATGGAAACGATAATACGGTGTATTATATTCAAGACAAAAATGGCAATTATTGTCGACTCTATTGAACATAAATCCTTATGTGAGGACTGAATAGATTGTGAGCACAAATACATTGGCAACTGATTGACGAATCTATTAGAGTTAGTGTCGGCCCAACACTACTGTCGGTCTGACTCCACATCAAACGAAACCAAAAGAAAATAAGCGAATTCACTGAAAGTGCAGATCCCAGTCCTCTGTGGATAACGGAGATAGTAATCAATGACTGGAAGGTCAGTAAATGAAGGCAACTCCAGACCACTGAGCCTACCATTGCCTACCAGTGCCTACTAGTGCCTCACAATCATATTCTTATCGGTGTTTCGTATTTAGAGTTGGATTTCAAGAATCAAATCAATTCGTCGACAGAATTAACGAACCCTTCAGAGAGTTATTGCACTTTCAGTTCACAGACAACACAATCACACTCTCTATAATCATATCAATTATTATTGAAACCAAATTAGATCCTGGGTTATCTTTTTATCGCAAAAATAAATATGTATTCTTTGAATTTAATTATTTTCTATTTTATTTTTATATTTACCAAAAATTATTCTTAATTCTTATTTTTTGCAAAACATTACTCCTTTATTACTAAATAAAAATATTATTATAACTAATTAATAGTCAATATAAATTTAGGTCACTTATATATATATATATATTTAAAATTAATTAAATTATGATATATTTTTATTGCCAAAAATCTCATAAATTGAGGTCAAATCATACAAACAAAATGAGAGTCAATTTGAGAGATAATGCAAGATATAAAGTGCTGTGTATTTGTAATGAGGATTTGGAAACATATTTATAAATCTTGAGGACAGAAACTTTCGTCTATTTGTGTTCGTCTGGAGGGTTGAGGGGTTGGGATGATTACAGTAAATAGTAGTGCGAAACTGACATCAAACTGAGTGTAATATTTTTCACTCCGACTCCTAATCGATGTCTTTCGACAATAAAACAAATACTAAGAGAGAAGGCATGAAATGAAGTGAATAACAGAATTGAGGTATGATTTTGTGAACCAACACATCGTTTGCGGGACTATTATAACCAAAATTTATGTCACTTTTATGATATGATATGTTCAGCAAATTAACAAATTCATGCATCGATTAAAATCAGCGAATAATTGCCTCCCATTTGGTGTCTAACCATCATTTCAGACCACAATATAAACTCTATTATAAAGTCTCTCCCCTCAAACACATTCACTGATTCCTTGGATAATAATAACAATTTGTTTAAACATAAAAACTCTAATAATATTCATTGGAAAAAGGCTGTGTGTTAACATAGTTTTTAGTATATCTTTAGACATTTATACGAAATAGTATTTCTTTTTATTAAAACTATCGAAAAACATGTGAACCGAAAAAGGGTATTAATTTTCTAAATCTGAAACATGAGATAATAAAATAAAAGCACAAATTACTGTACTGTATTATCAATATATAAAACGTATAAACTCAAAAAAAACTTTTACTTTTATTTGTTTTCATAACTTTATTAACGATATTTATATTTTTTGTTGATTTAATCGCTGTATTTGAAATTGGTTTAATCTTCTAGATTTATTTCCTATAATAACAATAAAATATTTATCTATTATAATAAAAGTAATCAAACATTTTGCTGATTTTACTAAATACACAAAAAATAATTTACAAATACTCGGGATAATTACTAAAACAAAATTATAAGCTAGTCATGTCTGATATTGATGATTGCGTTTATTGGTCTCAAAATAAGTCGATTTGTTATTTTGACACTAATTTTGATAAAATAGCCCATAATATAAAGACAGATAGAGTTCATAAATAAAACAAATGAATTCTATGATAAAGCGGTTACAAAACTAGAATCTAATCATTAAATGTTGTTATGATTATTATCTGACATTTATTTTAATCATTTATAGGATTAGTCAAAATGGGAGTCCATTGTGTGAGCGGTAAGAAAGTGGCCGTAAAAATAGTCAATCGCGAGAAGCTGTCCGAAAGTGTACTCCAAAAGGTATGACCAATTTATTATCATTTATTGTCATAAACATGTCATTTCTAACATATAGTAAATCATTTATATATAAATTCTTGAAACACATTCAAACTTTGATTAGAGCTAAGAGACTAATGAATTAGTTCAGAAATAGTTAATTGGTTTTTATTATCGAAAGATTAACTCATTTTTATTAGACTTTCAGTTTATTGCAAAGCTATTATAGCCAACCAACAAAATATGCGACACTTTTTTAGCAACTTTTCTAACGATCCCATAGATAATCATTTGATGTGAATATATTTATTTTTGGTTTCAAATTTATGCTTTACTTGTAAACACATTATACGTATTGACTGCAGACTAACAGTAACTTTATATAAGAATCTACGGTTAAGCCATAAACCATCAAAATATTTGACAGAAACCTATTCACTGTTAGGAAACATAAATTAAAGTATAGAAAACACGCAAACATATAGTTATTTGAGGGAAAAAACATATAACAGAAAAATGATGATTACGTGAGGATTTCATTTACGAGATTATCGATAATGTTATTGACCCTCAAAACAAGCATTTATTTGCTTTCGTATATGATATGAAAACAATTTTGTGAATTCAATCATAAAAAGTAAATGACAATTAATTTTCTCATTCAGTTTAAGGAAACATTTTTTTGTAATAATATTTTCATTTTGAGATCAATTTAATTGAGAGTCAAGTGTTTAGTGATATGTTTGCTATTTTTACTCTCGAGTCAAATCCTATTGACTCTGAAATTCAGTGAAAATTTGCTGACTTTGTATTACATTTGATTTGTTTGGCTTCAATCGACATCAACTGTATTTATAATGCCTTTCAAACGGTGTTATGTTTTTGGCGAAACTGCTTTAAAACCATTATATTTATAGAAAAGAAATACAGAATAAATAAATATGAAATTTATTTAAAATCATGAGTTGAGTAAACATTTTGACAGTTTTATAAAACCTATGAAATAAAACTGTTTAGAAATTTGTCGATAAATATATTTAGCCGTTGAGTTACGATACCATAAAATGTTGTCTTATTCTGTAAATGCCTGCAAAGCAATAAAGTTTTGCAGTGAAGTCGTATTTCAGTTGAAAAACTTTCATTTCTAAACCAATTTCCAACAGGAATTGACTTTTTTGTGTTTGAATATCAGGTTGTGTTTCAGAAAAATAAAACATTTAGGTTTAGAAAGTGTTTAAATTTTAATTCAAGAATTATTTACGTTTGAAAATATAAAAAATAAGAAAAGTTTAATGTGATTGTGTTTGCATTGTAACGTATAGGTGGAACGGGAGATAGCCATCATGAAGCTGATAGAGCACCCACATGTCCTCGGATTATTCGATGTCTACGAGAATAAGAAATATTTGTAAGTATCTGTCAAAACAAATTTGGTGATTAAATTTTCTGGTCCACTGGTTGTGTGTGTTTTGAAAGCATCTATTATTTGTATGATTGACAAACTGGCTCAAATATTAATACCATATGGTTGTGTCGGTTGGTGTCCAACAGATACCTGATTCTGGAGCACGTCTGCGGAGGAGAACTGTTTGACTATTTAGTGAAGAAGGGTCGGCTCACCCCTAAAGAAGCGCGTCGTTTCTTCAGACAAATCATATCCGCCCTCGACTTCTGTCACAGCCATTCAATTTGGTTTGTCTTTTCATATCTATTCATTCACTACACGCTTTTACACCCCATTCCCCGCTTATAGTGAACACAAATGTAGTCAAAATAATAGTATAATGTTTTTTGTCGGAAATGCATTGTAAGCCGGGTTTGAGTTTGATTTGTTTGAAACATTGATTTCTATTTATGTTTATTCATTCAGTCATTGTTTTTGTGTCACAAATAGGGCTCAAAAGAGACACATTTTTGCTTCAATTCATTCAATACTCGCTTATATTAGAGTTTATATATAGTGGACACTCTTTGCAAATAAATATTTAACCAGAAATTCATACATATATTCATCCGCTCTCCCCATGAGGTCATCCAATATACTGTTATCCCTGACCTTTCGGAACATATGTCAGTCTCAGACCTCTCGTACTTTATTTGATTGCATTGAACGCCTCGTATTGAGTGAACTCTCATGCCATACAATATATGATTACATAAATTATTTACTAATCAAATAAAATGACAAATTTAATGATTGTTTAGGTTTGGCAAAACATAACGCAATTCGTTGTTTAAGTATTGATCTCTTGTTTCACAATCCTTTCCAGTCTTATAAGACTTAAGAAAGTCTATATAAAAGTCAAATAAAGTCAAAGTTTGACAAATGATCTGTGTATCGATTTTTAGGCAAAAAATATTTTCTATCCCTGAATATCCAAATATAATTAAATTAAGCCGTGTTTTGTTTCCCTGAAAAAAATCATTTGACAGAATTGGAGCAAATAATTTGAATTTTTTTAATAGGATTAAAAAACTATACCCATTAATAACGATTGTTTTGCAATTAGATTTAAACGTGTTTGAAAGTAACAATAAAATTGCTTTTTGATGGCCAGTCATAGGGATCTAAAACCAGAGAATCTTCTGTTGGATGAGAAGAATAACATAAAGATTGCAGACTTCGGAATGGCTTCTCTCCAAATGGAGGGCTCAATGTTGGAGACGTCGTGTGGAAGTCCTCATTACGCTTCGCCTGAAATTATTAGAGTAAGTCATCACTCAATCACATTATGTATTGATTGCAGAGATAGTCTCCAAAGTCTCGATAGTCATCTCCAGTATAAGCTATAAGAGGAACTCATTTGTTTCAAACAATGCATGAATTTATACCAGAATTATATATAACATGAATGCTTTTAATAAATGAGATCACGTTCCCATATAGCTTAGTTTTTGTATAAAGATTGTATAAAAATAATTAATATAATGTGTATTCTACTCTTTTATAAAATTTTCAACTAGTAACCATTTACAAAATGAAATATAACAAGCCATAAAAATGTTTTATCATAAAAACAAATAAATCAATTTAAATTTAAATATTTTTTCGATTGGAAATTACTGTACAGTAAGCTTTAGTAAATAGTGAATTGCAGTGAATTATTGTGGAAATATGTTAATCATATCGAGAGAACATGTATGCCGTGAGTGGTATACAGTTCTTACAGGAGTTAGACTTTTATATTGCATTCCAACACATCGGGGAAAATATGTTTATTTGAGTCCTCATCTAAAAAACCGCTCCTTTAATCAAAATTCTGATTCGAGCCATGAATTCATGCAGAATATTGTATACAAAATAATAGTATATTCATAGCATTGGTTTAATTAACGATATATTCGCATAGATTCTAAAGACTCGTCTCATATATTAAACACAAAAGACTTTTTCGATATTACAATGCTTTGAATTATAATTAATAGCTTTATATTAAAAATATTTTAGGGCTTAAACTAATTATTTTTGGTGATAATTTATATTTAGTAATTTATTTTTAAAAATATAGACTGTTTGTCGTACTGATTTGGCTTAAAATAGTTTCCAAATGTAAACATCATTGTTATCACAGAATCTACTTGTAGTGTACAGTACTTTCAAACATGTAGTACTATAATAATAATTCAAATGTAAATGAACTCAATTCAAGCGATTGAAAAGTAATTTTTCATATTTAGCTTTAATCCTTAAACATGGGTTGGAATATATGAAACAATTTGAATATTTACAAAACTTACAAACTTTCTAAAATACATTTTGCATTACATTAGAGGCAAAGATTATGTAAAACATAACAAAATATCAAACAGAAAAGAAATATGAATTTTAAGGTAGACTTTCATCGATTTTGTGTTTGTCTGCAATAAATTACTTCTAAAAATAATTTTTTAACTTCAAATTCAAACATTATGTTGAGAATTGCCATGAAATAGACATTTTATAAATGAAGTTATATTAATAAAGAAATCTTTTTTATTTTCATGTCTTATTGATCAGCAAATATTGACTCAAAAACTTTATTTAGTTTATCCACAAAGAAAAGTGAATATAAGTTTTACATCCATTTACGGCACAATACTAATCCATTACATGTTTCCACTTGTTATGATAATTTAATTTTAAATAATCATAAATATTTGTTTTGTTTAAAATTCTCATAACTTAACAAAATGTGTTTTATTTTTGTGAAACATAGGGCGAGAAATATGATGGGCGACAAGCAGGTGAGCAACTATTATATTGATTACTGTAAAAGCAAATTTAGTTTTACTTTATGTTATTCTTTAATAATTTATATACTGTACCACTATTTCACTAGTTTTTCCTTATGTATCGATTTTACTGCTTGTGTTATAAGTATAATAGGATTGGCAATGGGTTTGTGATTGTGATTGGGGCTCAAGTTCACCGCCTCTTCACTGATTAAAATTCTGCAAAAATATTCATGAGATTCAACTGAACCCTCATTTTTATAGCTTCTTATCTATTAGTCAATTATTCTGGACTTTAGATATTGAATATGTTTTGCAATATTTTTGAAATATTTATGAGGATCTGTGGCTTAGAGTCGAAAGGAATTGAAATCTGTATTCAATTATTATTAGCGCATAGACTAAAATTAAAAATAATTAATCACACCAATCAGTTAGTACTAGCAATCAGATTGTTGTGAAAACATAATAAATTACACATACTATAAAAATTTCAATATTCTTAAGTTTATGGTTTAACTCATAATAAAAATTGTTTAATATTTATATTTATTCTGTGTTTTTCATTTGCCAGATGTTTGGTCCGTTGGTGTTATACTCTATGCTCTTTTAGTGGTAAGAAATATATGAATAAATCAAAGAAATTCCATTAACTTTTGTTCAGCTCATCATTTATTCACAAAAAATACTTCATTCACTGCCTAACACTATAAAGCAGTGCCTTTCAATATTATTATATATTAGAAAACAATTGAATGTGAATAAAAATAATAAAAAGCTGCATTTTGGTATTTGCGAGCAAAAGACAATAATAGAAATGATGTTTTCAATGTTAGGGTGCCTTACCTTTCGATGACGACAACCTGAGACAACTGCTGGAGAAAGTGAAACGAGGGGTTTTCCATATCCCACACTTCGTGCCCCCTGAGTGTCAGGACCTACTCCGGGGTATGGTTGAAGTGAACGCCAATAAACGCATTTCTGTGAGTATTGACTCAACCATTAAATTATAGTTTTGTGTTTCCTAATTGAATTGAGTTTAACATTTAAATCACACCGATTTATTTGAATTTCAAAATATGACAAAAGTATAAATATTGACTTTAAAGACATACAGTTTAAAAGTTTTTAATCTTTCTCATGTTTGTGACAATTCGGTGTAATTATACGGTATTAAGTGAACTTCAGAATATTCACTAGTAATTCACTTGAATTTCCTTTTATAAGAGACTAAAGAATTGATTATATTATTACTTACGAGAAATACAATCATTTAGATTCAAGTCATTGCAAATGCTTTTTAGTTGAATTTATGCTTTATTTGACTAAAAATAGATTCCTTTTGTAAATACAGTATAAGTTTTGTTCACAAAGTATTGATTCTCTCATAACTAAGATATAAAATTGTTATTTTTGCAAAAAGCAAATGGAAAACAAGTTCTCATATTTTCATACCCAAAGAATCGACAATAATATAATCAAATAGAAAATAACTTTTATAATTAATATGAATATTCCTAATAAATTAGAAAAATATTATATAATAGTACGTTTAATTTGCGATTTAATTACATGAAGCATACAACACCATAGAAATGTAAATGAACATTAATTACCAAAAACAATATTCAATATAATGTAATATCTCTCGAAAGTTGTAGATTTGTATTAAAACTTAAGATTCGTTTCATATCTTTATGTTATTTTTATTGATTTATTTCACGACAAAAGACAACAAAATATTCATTTATTCCGAAAATTATAACAAATTCAGTATTCATTCAGTAATTTATTTTCTATTTATACCTAACTCTAGAGGTTCTCATTATTTGAGTTATTTTTTTTGGAGATCTATATTCTCGTAAATAAACGAATTTCATATAAAAGTAATTTTTCCAATTATTACGAGTCATGTATTTATTCCACATAAATTTCAAATCATAATATCATTTAAATATAATTTCGTGTCATATGAATTCATTTGGTTATTATTGATATGAATTACAAGGTAGTTATTTTTGTATACAATAGTAACAAATAGTTTGTATAGCATTTTTGTTTTCCATTTAAAGACAAGTGAACATTATTTAGATATTATTTTACGTGCAATTAATTTTTGTGTTTAATCGATAATTTTTGTTTCTTAACACATTTTTGTTGTATACTGTAGTTGTATATAAAAAGCAAATTAATTCAAAATTCCTGACATTTTTAAAATTTGTATAAAATTCTCATAAATCTCATGACATATAACATCTCAAGTAATTATTGTCATAAAAACACATACTGTAGCTATTAATTGTCGAAATCGATTTAATTTATGTCTATTTATGCCTAATATTTGATAACTCTTTTAAAAATAGTGTTAAACACTTGAAACTGAATGACAAGAATTAGAGGCAAAAAATAATCATTCATTCGTAACATAAAGGCGTAATGAAAGGCACAACACATTGATTGTTGGCTGCCTCGAGAGAGAGAGAGAGAGAGAGAGAGAGAGAGAGAATAGGGTTAATGTATTGTTTCTGAGCTGTGTTTACAGTGTGTGTGTGAACTGACACATGAATTTTTGAGTGAAACACACAAAACAAAAATATAAGACTTTCTACTGTAGTGTAAAAATGCATCCTTTGGTGGGAAAGATTGATGAATATAAGCTACTTTTGCTGTGCCTTTCCTTCCCTTCCCTTTAGAACATAGCGTTGAGTTAGAAAATGTGTTTCTTATATATATAGCCCACAGAAACTGTATATACTCTGAGAGTTCATCGCTTTGTTATTTGAGTGAATGATAGAGTACTATATTTTTGAAGTAAGAATAAGTCTTTCAAATTCAAACGACTCACTGACTTGAGGGCGACTTAAACCTTGAATTGAATGCAAAACAGTGAGAAAATGCTATTAGAATTTTGGTCAATAATTTAAACCCTGGACTCACATGTCATCAAATATATGGTCTCTTATATGAAAGCCAATGATATGAATGGCAATACAACATAAATATGAAAGTTATTTTTTATTTATATAACACATAAGAATATATTATTTGAGATTATTATCAAGAATAACACAATATTCACGAATTCGTTCAATAAAACCGTTTTCATACATAAAAACGTATCGAAAATATGAAACTTTGTGTTGTGTTTGTGAAAAATCAGCAAAAGATATGTTTGTATTCAAACAAAAAGACTTTTTCCATACAATTCCTACCGACAGATAAAATGCAAAACGTATTCATAGACTAAAAGAAATATATATATATTTATATATCTTTTGATTTTAAACCAATGCTTTTGAGGAGTTGTTTCGCTCAACAAAAGCTAATAAAAACGTCAACTCGTCTCAAGATTTTCTCGTCTCAACCGATAAGATTGTTCACAGAATTTATGACAACATTTCAAATATTAATTCATTTGAATACAAGTTATTAAGATTGACTCAATCTTTGAGTTGAGAGACTTAAAGCCAAACTAAACTACAAGTCTTTAAATGTTCAACAAATTAATATTATATTGGGTTTTTAACTTTTAATAACATTTCTAATTTACACCTTTTTATATAAACTTTTATCACATTTAACTCGAGATAACCAATCAATCAAATTATAGTCGGAATGTATTTTCTGAATAAATAACTTGATTTGTTTGTTTATCACATATAACTAGTATATTAGAGTAGGAAAAGATTGATAAATTTTGTGACATTTTGTGATGAAGTGATAACTGATGGCAAATGCATTCATTTCTATGATTACAGTTAGCGCTGGTAACTCGACACCCATGGGTTACGACGTGAGTACACTTACCGTATATATAAATATTAATTGAAATATGATATAAATATGTTTCATGAGTCCTGTTGCGATCACTACTAATGTCTAATCATTAACTTTAGCGGAAGTAAAAGCGAATTAGAGCTCGAATTGCCGATGAAAGAAGTGGTTCAGGTATTACACCATTACTTCTTTAATATACTCATACCAGTGCCACACAAGTGCCCAAATACTGGCGCTTAATTGCATTACAAACACCGCATAAAACTTTGAATCAATCATTTGAGAAAGAAATTAATTTCAGTATTTATTAATTATGTATACTATCTAGATTACTTAATTTTCGAGTCAATTGAATGATAATAATATTTATATAAATTATACATTAATTAGAGATAATTTTGAGAAACTTTGAAAGACATGATAAATGGTAACAATTCTGTCGACAGATAGGTCTAATTTAAGTCATAAAAAGTTGAGTTAATTAAATGAAATATTTTCTTACATGCGATCTACAAAAATACATTGACTCTCATATGATATGAAGATTCGTCTTATTATAATATTTTTATTTAATTTGGTTTTAATGAATACAAAATGAATGTTTGAATGATTGGATTATAAATATATTGCATTCATTCAGTACACCATTAATCACACGAGAATTGGTTTGAATGTCATGTTTAACACACTGTATTCAACGCAAACATATTATTTATTCTAAAATATGATTTTCATGCCATTATATACTCGGCATAGTTTATATGAATAGAAATTTAAATCAATAATAATTGCATAATAAATACAGACTCACATAATCCCGAGTGTGGATGACGTGGATCCCGACGTCTTAACAAATATGACATCTCTGGGCTGTTTCAAAGACAAGGAAAAGCTTTTAAGGGACTTACTTTGCACCAAGTAGGTTTTGAGACACCATCTCATTGCTCCACTTAATAATAGCGCTATATTTTTGCTATACATTCAATGCATTCCTCTCACTATCGTCTTCTTATTTATTCTCTCCCTCTGCGACCCATTCCCTCCCTTCCCCTCTGTTTGTCAAACAACAGCCACAACACCGAAAAAGTTATATATTTCTTATTATTGGATCGCAAGAGGCGTCGGCCTTGTTTTGAAGACGAGACCGAGTCTATCATCAGAAACCGATCGGAATCGGGTCAGTATTCTGTCAAAAAATCGGGTCAGACATCTAAAAGGCTTAATATTTGTATTAATTGTTTTAATAATATGTTTGTTTGAATCCATAAACAGCGGATCCGCCGCGAAAACGAGTGGATGTCAGGCCGGGCGGCTCTTCCACTCCAAAACCTACTCCAGAAATATTGGCCGACGGCTCGCCTATAACTCCTCGAAGATTTCCCTATGGGTTAGAAAACACATATATTTTGTGTTTATATTTATTGAAAATGTTTTTCCATTTTCCATCCGTTAGTATCAACTCATCGACAAAAGTCTATATAAACTGCACTCCAATTCATAGGCGAAACGCAAACAGACGGACGAACGGCGCGACCAATAATTTGTTAGTCTCTCCCATCAATTCACCGAAACCGCACCGAACGGGAAATCCTGAAGAACTCATGGATACGCCTCCCGGTTCGCCATTATCTCAACCCTATTGGAAGTCACGACTGAATACACTTAAAAATAGTTTTCTCGGAAGTCCCAGGTATTCAATTGATTCACTTTTACCTATTTACCCATTCACCCAGTCACATTTATTCATAACATTTTTGCTTTTTTATTTCCTTTAGATTCCATCGAAGGAAACTTCAGGGTATTTAACGTTTATATAATATTTTTTCTCTAAATTAGTACTTATTTGAAGCCATAATAACATTTTATTTATATTGTAGATATTTATGTCGTTTTAAGTTTTATTTTATTAGATCTGAAAATCGATATCTTTTTTCTACAGACATACAATGTATTTGGAGTTTGAATTTGTGAACTCAAAGAACAAGTTTTTCTTTTGAAATCCTTTTATAAAAAAAAGTTGAATTTTTTATGGCATTGAAAACTATTTCTTTGATATAAAAAACGTTTGTTTTGAAGAATTTATTGAATTGAATCCAAATAACGGAAACAGAATTTTTAAGCAGAATATCGATACAAAAGAATTTATTTATAAAAAACTAAATCAATTTGAGTAGTGTTTGTCTATTTGGTGTATTTAATCAAATTTTATGCCAATAGTCCCACTCTATGACGACAACATGGGTCTCACTCCCGAGTCATCGCCTGAGCTGACGAAGAGGTCGTGGTTTGGAAGCCTTATGGGCACTGAGAGGGACGAGACTCATGTCATTTTGATCAAAGACCGACAATTGTCTGCCATTAAAGCAGATCTAATCCACGCATTCCTTTCTGTGAGTCTCTCTCTCTCTCTCTCTCTCTCTCTCTCTCTCTCAACACATTTTTATTGCATTTCGTTTCTAAACGACAAAAAATATTTCAAGAATTTTGTCGCGAATATTGTTTTCATTCTCTCCTTTCATTGTATTATAACAATAGATATCAGACTTAAGTCACTCCGTGTTGTCGCCGATGTCTTTCCGGGTTGAGTTCAAGAGGCCGGGCAGCACCGCAATGTTTCAGAGGAATGTCCGCTTCCATGTGGACATCACTTGTGCCACACCGCCCGCTGATAATGCCACCAATGGATCCATCGATAAGACTACCGACAAACCCACTATTTATTGCATTACTTTCACATTAATCTCCGGTAATATAATTGATCATTAATTACCTTGATACTAATTACGCGATTAATTGAATCCATTGCGTCCATTGGATCCAGGTCCATTGCGTCGATTCAAGCGTATATGCGATCACATTCAGGCACAGGTGTTGGGCAGTCGTAGGGCTGGCGGTCAGCACTCGCCGCGAATGGGGAGAAGGCCTACGAGAGAGTTAAGCGACACGTCTTCGTGCGGGTCCTGCGGGTCGGACAGTCTGTCGCCAACGCCCACACGACTGCACGTCTCGGAGGATACGGTGAGTTTGGCGGCCGCTGTGGTGAACACGAGCACCACTAACCTGACGGCCGCCATCTCCCGGTGTAAGTCAGACCAGGACGCGGCCAAAGACATCTTCGAGAGAGAGGCCAAACTGTTGGCTGACAGGCGCCAGGAGAGCACCCATCGGCTCATCAATAACTTAACGAACGGACGGCGCCTGAGTTTAGAGCCTAAGCTGCAAACCGACAAAGTATGAGATGACTAGTTATTTATGGATCAATTGGTTTCACGGATTGCTTCGGAATTCAATTCCTATTCATCGAAAACATCCACAAAAATACAAATATTAAACACAAAATGTTTTTTCTCTGACTTTCGATTCGGTTATTGAAAGACAATTCAATTTCTTGATTGAAGCATTGGTTTTGTATTTTGGGAAATATTTTTTACATCATTAAAAGTGCAATACAGTTGTGTTGGATATTATTCGCGAACCGAACGGATATTATTGTAATATTTGTTTAATTCACCGAAGAATCGAAACTTTATATTGAAATTCATTGAGAATTATGAGTGAAAATCGACAACAAATGCCAAAAACATATAATAATAACAAACGAACAGATATTCAATGAATGATTACAATTAATTCATAAACGATTAGATAAATATAAAAACAATTAAATTATTTTCAAATATACTCTTAAGAAAAAAACATGACTCAATTAAACTATATTATATATAAAATATTAATTATTTAAATTAATTGAGTCGTTCACACAAATTAGGTTTTGAAATAATTTTAGAAGAAATTAATAATTTTGAAAATCAACAAAAAATCTCCACACTCATTTGAGCAAATTATTAAATTAATCTAATTATAAGCCATTGGATTCTGTGTTAAAAGTGCATGTATTATATAAGAGCCCATCAAAAAACGATATCAATTCTACACTCATTTGATTAATTCAATTCTCATTTGATTGCATGGAATCAAAACAATTCATTCAAACAAAAAAAAGCGATGAAAAATATTATAACAAATTAAAAGTCTTTGAAATCTAAATAACATAATGTATTCTCGATCCGATAAAAAATTGATTTATGAATTTCGTTATGAATTTAGTAATAATTGACTTTATTTTATTTGTTTGCATCACAACAACAAAATATGTTATATAATAATAGCTATCATTTGATTATTATTTTTATTATAAATGAATATTTGTTAATAAAAAATAAATTAATTTCATTGAATTTCATAAGTGGCTTAATTATTAAGTTTAATAAATATTCAATAAATGAATAAATCAAATATCAAAAGTCAAAAGGTATTGGTACAGTATAAATATTACTGTTATACAGGTATCATATTTATAGAAAATATTTCTCAAGGATTTATATAGAAATACATTAATCTGTAAGTTTTATTTTAAGTCGATATAACTTTGATTTTATAAAATTGCAGTGAGATTACTATTCAATGGTTGTCAATCAATTCATTTAAAATAAAACGAGTAAGACTTACAGGATCACCATTTATAAAACAGTAATAAAAAATATAGTTAACTAAATAAAACTATTTATTCATTGAAATTATATTTAGGTTCTATTTATTAATATAGATAATATTTAGGTTTAATAATATTGACTAAATGCATACTATTTTCTAAAACTTCTTAATTATTTTATTTGATAATATTAATAAAAGATATGACAATATAATAAGAATTATAATATGAAACAACAAATTAGACACAAATGGATGTACTATTAATGGGTTAAACTGGTCTCTCCCATAAGCCACGAATGGCCGATCATGTTATCAATGGACAGTCTGGTGATAGGGTTGGGATCAAGGTATCGAGTGATCAAATCTATAGCATTTGCATCCATTTTTATGTCTTTGGGAAATTTGATGTCTTTCCTCATCATTTTGTCGGCACTTTGAACGGGAATTCACACGTCAGTAGTCGGAAGGCCATCACCTATGGAGGGGGAGGGGAGGGGTTATTCACAGACTCAATACTAATTAATTAATAAATTTTGAATTCATAGTTAAAATGGCAATAATAATGACCCCTAAGGCCCACGAGTCCGTCGGTATTATCATATAAGAGGGCACTGTCTGAGCGGTGCTCTGTTTGTCTGTGGCTTTGAATCTGAGTATTTCGGGGGCCGTTCCCACTCCACGCCTGTCCTTCCGAAAGCCCAGTCCCTCGTTGTACGCCCTGTCAGTCACTCCAAAGTCTGTGATCTTGCAGATGAAGTTCTTGGGGTTCAATACGGATGGGAAGAGTAGAACGTTATCTAACTTGAGATCCCTGTGCGCTATACCATTCTTATGCAAGTGCCTAATCCCTGTCCGCAGTATCGTTTGGCGATCGCGTCCTCCATTCCGTTCTTCCAATTATCTCTTAGTTCGCTCTCAAGGGTCCCGAGACTCGAGTACTCCATAAATATATATACATTCACTTGTCTTTTATTGGTCTCTCGATTCGTAAAGTAAATGACAAACCGGTCGTATGTCTGGATCACGAACTCGTGTTTCAGATGTTTTGTGCGTGTCTTCCGGTTTTTTGCCGTCCGACTTGTATGCCTTGAATACCTGTCCATTAGCTCCACTGTCAATGAAGTTTTCCTTATCGAGTGTCAGGTAATAGCCGTTCTTTTCGAGATATTCCTCCGGTGTGTCGTTTGACTTCAATATAATGGGTCCGAGGATCTCTTGTTCACCCATTTGTGACATATGTTTAACCGTCAACTCCTTCACCTGAGACTTCTTCATGGAAGGACTCGATGGAGTTCGCGGAGTCTTAGTCTTATTCCGTCTTTTTGTCGGATTTGGCAGATTTTTGGGTACTTTTATTGGCGACTCCTCCACAGCAACACATTTGCCACAATATCTCACAACAAATACACTTATCTGTCAGAAATCTATACACTCGTGGGTTTAAAGTGGTTTAAAAGTCACAAGAAATCAATGACAGAATTAAACAAATTCAGCGAATGATAAAACAGTTAAATTTGATGATCATTTCAAAAGTGCCTACAATTTCAAAACATATTCATCACGAGAACTATTCAAATCTGAATTTCAAAATTTGAATTCATGAAATATTGTCATCAATAATCAAATATCTCTGAATAGTCTCTCATTATAACAATTTGTTAATCAAATGATATAATAATTCAAATTAAGAAAACAGTTGAAAACTTTAATCGGGATAATTGTCTCAAATATTCAACAGTTGTTTTCATTTCATTGTGACAAATATCTGTAAATAAGACCACAAGTGATGTGTCAATGGTTTTGTTGCTGTCTTTGCTTTAGAAACCCAAAAGCAGATCAAAAGAAGTCAAAGAAAGAGAAAAATAAAACTGACGGCAAAACCATTGATAATAAAGTGAAGACAGAAGTGAATCCAAAAGGAAAGTCAGACATCGATGGGAAGACAGCAATGGATGCTTCAGATCAGAAGAATCCCAAAGAATTGGTCTCTTTTTATCACAGTCCTGAAGATTATGCGGTCAATAATGACACACAGAATGTGAAGTCAAATGTAAAACCAAATGACAGGCAAATTGATGAACAGTCGACGACACTATCAAAGGTGTCGTTGGATGTAATTACGAGGACATACCGATTGCCTGACAAATGTCTGAAAGTGAGAACAACTGAAGAACTGATGACTTCATTGGGATATGAGTTCTCTTCGAAAGAGATCGGAAGCGGAGGCTTCGGACGCGTGAAGAAAGTGTTGAGAAGATCTGATGGGAAAGTGATGGCCTGTAAGGAGATTGCGATGAATGGCAAGAGAGAGAAAGCGGTCAAGTCATTGAAGAATGAGAGCCCAAAACAAGTATATCATTCATATGTACGACAGCTTTATTGTTGAGGACAGGGATCGCACGACTGCATACATATTCCTCGAGTTTGCCGACAGTACTTTGGATAAGGATATCAATTACGGGTCTATAGACAACGAGGAGATATTTCGCACAAATAGCGACGGCTTTGATATCTCTTCACAAGAAGGGAATCGCACACAAAGACCTCAAACCAGAAAACATTTTATTAGTTACTAATGAAAAGACAAACGAAGTGGAGGTCAGAGTCACTGACT